ATGGAATATTCAGTGTTCCATTTTAGAAATAAATACTTTAGCAGCAGAATAAGGATACTTTCAAAGAAGGCTTGAGATAAGAAAGGAGGAAGGAAGAAAGGAAAGAAAAAAACCGTTGAGGCCGGGCGCGGTGGCTCACACCTGTAATCCTAGCACTCTGGGAGGCTGAGGCGGGCGGATTGCTTGAGGTCAGGAGTTCGAAACCAACCTGAGCAAGAGCGAGACCACATCTCTACTATAAATAGAAAGAAATTAATTGGCCAACTAATATATATGGAAAAAATTAGCCGGGCATGGTGGCACATGCCTATAGTCCCAGCTACTCGGGAGGCTGAGGCAGTAGGATCGCTTGAGCCCAGAGTTTGAGGTTGCTGTGAGCTAGGCTGACACCACGGCACTCACTCTAGCCTGGGGCAACAAAGTGAGACTCTGTCTCAAAAAAAATAAAAATAACCGTTGAGGGCATTCATAGTGATCTGAGCAAGGCATTATGAGAGCTTGAAAAAAGGTAGTAAATGTGGGAATAGAGACAAGCAGACAGATATGGGAAATAGTAAAGTAGATAAAAAAGACTTGATTATATAATCTCTGGGAGTTGGCAGATGAGTGTAAGGAAGGCATTGAAGATGACTCTTAGGGCTCTCTGGGAGGCCGAGGTGGATGGATCGTTTGAGTTCAGGAGTTCAAAACCAACCTGAGCAAGAGCAAGACCCGCAGCAGAGATAAGTTTAGTTGGGCATGTTCCATTCTCCATGGCTGGGAGGAGTTATCAATAGTTGTCTATGTTGACCAAGAGAGCTGGGGCAACAGAGCAACTAGAGGCCAACAAAATCACATATGATTTGACCATATAGTGAGAGCTAAATGTGAATCCACCCAAACTATTAACAGTTTCACTTTTATTTCTAATAATAAATACATATTAGCTGCTCCAGTAAATATGTTGTGGTGAAATTACTGGCGTACAGCTTTGTATTCCTTGGTCACTTTCTATAGTTTTGAAAAAAAAAAAAAGGTTGATGTATGCCAATTACTCGTCACGTGGGCAACTTTGGGTCAGGTGCTGTGCGCAATGTTAATTCGGAAACAGCTTTCTTTGTTTTTTTTTTTTTGAGACAAATCTCACTTTTGTTGCCCAGGCTAGCAGTGAGTGCCGTGCGTCAGCTAGGCTCACGCAACCTCAAACTCTGGCTCAAAGCGTCCTCCTGCCTCACTCCCAATAGGCACTAGCAGCATGCACCCCATGCCGCCCTAATTTTGGCTATGATAACTTTTGGGTCAATTAATTTCTTTCTATTTAGTAAGAACGGACGTGCATCGCTCAGGCGTTTGACGAACTCCGAAT